TAGGTTCAGAACGGCCCTTCTCAAAATGAAGCTCCTTTTTTGTAACGCCATCCGAGGACGGCTGCATCTTCACCATTTTAATGTCTCCGGGCTGAGGTGGAACAGCATCGACGCCTGCTCGCGATCCCGTTACAGGTTCATTCGACTGTAATGGTAGGTGAATGTTCTCGGCGACAAAAACGGTTGCACTTTGGATGTATGTAACATTAACATCCTTATAAATACAGGCTTCATGCTTTCGCCGGCTTTGTTGCTCACCTCTTGCTCAAAAAATATGTCACTCGCTGACTCCTCGATAATTGGTGAAGCTGCCCTGTGGGTGAGGTCTTCTCCAGCGAATCGTAAGCACGTAGTGGTATCTGCACGAAGAACCAACTCCAGACTGATAATGCAAAGAGACGGAAACAATATAGAATTGGAAACTTTTTTTTGGTCTTCCGAGATTTTCTAGGCCAGTATAGGTCGGAAAAATTCATCAAGGTGGCCGGCAAAATGGGTGAATTAGCAATGGAGCTAGACCAGTAGGGTTCATCTCATAGCAAAAAAAAGATGATTCGCAAAAAGATAGAACATTGAAAAACCCAAAGGCCCACGATAAACACTGCCCTATTTGACATATGGAAGCAACGGATATTCGATTTCTAGGAAACGACCTGACCAGTGTGGAGAAACTAATTCACGTCTATCTCTACCAATTCCACCAAACTCCAATTATGATGATACATTTTATTATTCACAATACGATATAAACATAGGCTGAACTAGTCGAGAGGCTGGATTCACGATTTCACTTCACGCCAGTTTTTCTCAAATTTGCGCGTGAGAAATCGATCGAAAAACATCAAAAAGCCTATATAACTAGAAAGTACCTGAATCGCTTGCCCGTAAAAGGGGCTCACTAGCCTGCTGGACTTCTGAGGAAGCTGGAGAGCCACCTCTGTCGCATTCCACTGCATCTACGTCAAAGGACTGACGCGAAGAGAGGCGAACGCGATGCATACGATGGCTGTCAACCACGCCGCTAAAGCCTTAGATTACATAAAACTACGGTTAGAAAAGTATAATAATAATGTCTTACCGTTTCGCCACGCTTGCTGCTGAACCATAGGCCACACGAGCAGCTGATTCGCGCCTCTCACAGCGGGGGCGAACGTATGAGTCGCTTGCTTGACTAAGGCTGCGAGCTATGGAAATTGGCGTGGCGCCATCGTGCGTAGATGAGGCAGTGCCACAACCATAAGGAAAAGAGAACGCCTAGATTGTAACTACTTGAAGTTGTGGAAAAATGGAATATATCATGGAACCAACTTGGTCAGCGTGTCCCGAAGGTTGAGACTGATT